CACTGCACATTTTCCCTCGGCCCCAGGCCCACCCTCCACCCTGCTCTGAGTCCTGGGAGGCTGATCCAGCTTCAGCTGGCAGGGGACTGGAGGGCAGGAAGGGACGGAGGTCGGTTGACACAGTCCCTGTCATCTCTCTCAACTGGACCCTTGCCTTGGTATATGGTGCTATGCTCAGCTCTCCCCAGTGCGCCTGGACACTGGTGGGCAGAGTCACCGGCTGTGTCTGGAGGGGCAACAGACCCCCTGCTCCAGGAAAGAAACCTTCCCTCCCTGACACGCTCCTGTCTCTGCTGACAGCACAGCACATCTGACCTTTATTCTAACTTCCCACTCCCGAATTTCCTCCCCCTGAAAAGGGCCTGGTGGCATTTTAGGGGTAGATGAGGATGTTGTAGGAAGAGAGGACATGGGGAAATCAGCCCCATCTCCTACTGCACGTGGACGGTCCAGGGAGGCTAAGGGGCAGTTGCATGCAGGTGCTCGGGGACAGCAGCTCCCACCTTCCCACCCTGAGTCCTGGGTCCCAGTGACACACTGGGCGTGAGGGATGAGTGAGACCCAGACCTCCTGGGGCAGCATCACCAACAAGTGGCCTGTGTGCCCCCCACCTGGGGCCCCAGGCCGGCTCTGTCCCTCTGAGGTCACCCCTGCCCAACTCCCTCACGCTGCTGGGTTGGGCTCTTTTCCATGGAATTGTCTCTCCTTTGGCCAGTGAGCAGCCCCCCAGGCCGGCTCTGTCCCTCTGAGGTCACCCCTGCCCAACTCCCTCACGCTGCTGGGTTGCGCTCTTTTCCATGGAATTGTCTCTCCTTTGGCCAGTGAGCAGCATGGGGCCCAGAGAGGGGGAGGAACTTGCTCAAAGTCACCTGAGGCGGGTGTGGCCACCTCCCAGGACATCTTCCCTGCCCACTCTGCCCACTGGGAACTTTCTCACTCAGGACAGGTGCCTCGCACTGTAATTAAAATGTGCATGACCCCACTGTTTCCGTGTGCAGCTGGCTTCTTGTCTGCCCACCCTCCCCACACCCCCAGCCCAGCTCCCTGGGACTCTGGCTGCCCTGGACAGGAGCCATTCATTCTTATCTGTCTCTTTATTCAGGGCACCGGCACCCGGCACCAGCCTGGAGCATTCGCTCCTCAAATATTTACAGGGGTGTAAATGTTTGTCGATCTGATTTGATATGAGTGATTACTCTAAAGCTGTGCTTCTCAAACAGGGGCGACTCTGACCTCTTCCCTGGGACACATTTGGCAATTCCTGGAGACATTTTGGTTGTCCCAACTGGGGGTTGCCACCAGCATCTGGTGGGTCCAGGCCAATGATCTGCTCAGTGTCCTGCAGGGTGCAAGTCAGCCCCCAGCACAGAACCATCCAGCCCTGAATGTCAGCAGCGCTGAGGGTGAGACTCTGGTATAAGGATGGCCTAATGGCAACAGCTCAAATATCGAACACCGGGGCCGTGATGTCACTAGAGCCGCACCCCTGACCACGGGTTGAGCTCTGACCCCAGCCCAAAACTGAGCCCTTATTATGGTCAGTCTGAACCCTGATCCTGGTCACCAAATAAGCCCTGATTATGGTCACACCCTGAATCCTGAGTCTAGTCATACCCTAAGCCCTGACTGGTCACACACTGAGCCCTGATCCTGCTCACAAGCTGATTGATCCTTGTCCCCTGTCATTCATACTTTGGGCACACACTGAATGCAGCCCTGAGTGTAAGCTAAACCTGTATCCTCTGGTGGTCCTGCTTTCTGGAAAGTTCTGGCACAAAGGGGCATGACTCCCTGCAGTCCCTCTGTACAGTGGACAGGGCCTGGGTGTGGCTTTGACATGGCTCACCCATAGCCTCCTTCATCTGCCCTGCTGATCACTTCCTGGGACTCCAGATTTTCCTGTTCTCTCTTGGCTCACCTGACTGCCAGGGTTCAAACCAGTTGGATTCCCTGGAAACCCTGCCCTTTACATCGTACAAGAGTTGCCCTGATTCTTGCCAGAATAGGAAGCCACGGTGGGAGCTGCCAGGCCAGTGCTGGGGTTTTGTGGGAGCAGACCCCACCTTGCAGGGAGTCCTTGCTGACAGGTCTCCAGGGCCACCACACAGCCTGTGCTTGAACACACATAGTTTTCGCAAGAACTTTTTATTTCATGTGGAGTCAGTTTTTTAAAATAGAGATAGCACATCAATCGCAAAACCACAACTGTTTCAGGTTTCACCGCTGTAGATCTTTTCTTTAGTAAAAATGAGGATCAGGAGGGTAACCCATGCATGGTCAGATCACTGGGTAGCTGGGGGGCATCCTCAGTGCCAGGCCCCCATTTTGGGTTCCGGAAATTAAGGTCATGACTTGCAAGCTCTGTGTGTGTGATATGTGAATGTGTGGGCGTATTTGTACGTGTAAACTGTATATGAGCAGGCGTGTGTGCACATGTGTGTCACATGTGAGTGTGTGTGTGTTGGGGGCACTGAGTCCCATGAGAGCACCCTGGGCAGTGGGCTGGGCAGCCTTGGGCCCCTCAAAATCTGTTTCCCACCTCAGCCTACCCTGGCCGAGTGCCCACAGGCCCCACTACTGCCCTGGGACCCAGCCCCCACCTCTAATTCCCCCAAGGGCCCCTGGCATCCCCAGAGAAGCCCCCTTTTCCTGGTTCTCACAAAGGTACCATCAGTGGCCCTGCCCCAAACCTGCTCCCGGGCACCAAGGCGGTGATGGGCACCACTCCCACCCCCACCCCGGCCCCACAATCCCCAGCCCCGTTGGCCAGGCCTCTCTGCCTCTAGTGCCTCTCAGAGCTGTCCCCACCTCTCTGTACCCTTCTTCTCATGCCCACCCCTCCCTCCTGGAGTGGAGTCAGTGAGCCTAGGAGACCCCAGACTTGCCCAGGTCAGTCCCCTTCTTCGCGGCTGGGCAGGGACTTCACAAGCACCCTCAGCCAGGGAGCCGAAACCCCTCCTCCCTGCTGTAAGAGACTTGTCACCCTGAGACCCTCCTGGAAGGAAGACTGGCTGGTGATTCCCCCCACCTGGGGTCTCCAGAACCTGAGGAAGGGCACTGCCAGGGTTCAGACTGCCTCCAGGCAAAGGGAACAGCACACAGGGCAGGGACTCCCATGGCTTTCAAGAGGACAGAGAGAGGCCACACTGAGTGTGGCCTCATGGCCCAGTGAGGACCTGAGCTTTATTCAGGGAGGGGAGTGGTTGGCTCAGATGGAACTTCTCATAGGCCACTCTGGCTGTAAGGGGGGATGGGGAGGCCAGTCGGGAAGGAGCCGCTGCAGTGGTACAGACGTGGTCTGGGGGCTCAACCCTGGGAATGGAGGTGATGACTGGGGGCAGGGAGCCGTCAGTGTCAGCACCAGGAGACACCGGTGCATTTTCTTCCTTGTCTTCCTCTCTTTCTGACCCCCTCCCCACTGCCACAGTGGACTTGGTCCTTCAGACAAGGCCGCGGGGTCCCAGAGTAATGGTAGGAGCACCTGGGGGAGCCCCATGCATCTTGGGGGTCAGGCCTCAGTTCCGTGCCAAGCCCCACCCCCGCCACACCATCCAGGTCCTGGGAGGAGCATGGGATCCCGTGGCAGCAAGTGTCCCACGCAGGGATAGAGCTGGCCATCCTGGAGGGCGTCGCTGTCCCAGGAGACCTTGTTAGGGGCGCGCCAGTCCAGTTGTCCTGGGTTCCAGTCCCAGCACGCGCCTGGTATG